CTTGAATTTTAAAATATTTGAAATTGTCTATTAATTCTCATAAAGGAAAAACAAGAGTTGATTTCCCTGATATGATACTCCATGTACGTTTAACTTTCTACCACTGACTTTGGGAACCCACTACTTTTATAGCAAGCTGTAAGCAAGCCTTCTCTTTGTCCAAGTGAAAGATATTCTCATCTCTCAAAATTATCAGCTGCATAAACAACCCTGGAAAATGGCTCAGATAAAAGAATGATCAGAGCTTTGTAGTCTTGGTATACAAGCTAGAGGAGTTATAGGAGCACAAGAGGATCAAGGAGAAATATATCTCCCAGCCCAGATCGAGGGTCTGCTATTGACTAGCTGTGATTTGGGTTAAGTCTCTTTACTTCTAAAAGGCTCATTTCTTCTTAGATACATGGCAGTGGCAATACTAATTACCTTGAGCCTGAAATAATGTATTAAAATACATTAAATAAAGCACGCAGCATAATGCCAGACATACAATGGGCACTAAAGTTGTTATTTTTACCTTTTAAGAAAAGTATGCATTCTGTTTTTTTCCAGAATCCATAAACCAATACAGTATGGACTCTTAGGTTAACATGTCTCGGCCTCCATTTTTTCACTTATAAAATGAAGATGGTAATATCTTTACCACAGAAAAATGGAATCACATCATAGGCAGTTAAATATGATATACTTTCTTACTTTACTAATGTTACTAACAAACCCAAATTTTCTACTCATAGTACAGAGGCATTCTTGCATTAAAAATCAAATCATGGGAAGAAAATTTACGTTAAAGATGCTATGCACAGCAACTTGACAAAGATCATGATATAATTTTAATTTTTATTTAAGCTAAATAGAGTAACTGTGAAATTTGTGAAAATAACTGAAGTTTACTTGTATGATAATAATGTATTTTTTGACATTGACAGCCATTAATTTTTAAATAAGAAAGCAAACTTTTTTTGACAGTTGCTTTTTTAAGTGCTATTTATTCAAGGAAAATCAATTTACAATGCTATAAAATACATGTCATCAGAAGAATTTGGCATACATGTAATTATGTATGTTTTTCTGAAGTGGTCCATAGCTTCATAAAGAAACCATCAACAATACTGTGATTGCTTTGGTGATGGGTTGTTAGTTAACGATGGTCTCTACCATCAGATGACAATTAAACTCCAGAAGTAGGTTACAGAAGCTGATTCTAATCTCCCTTCTAGTGCTCCAGCAATCTAATCTCTCCTAAGAATGATTTACTGCTTACAAAACCATTCATAATGATATACCAAATCATTCAAATATATCAAATCGCTGGGGATATCCTTATATTTTCTATAGTTTAACTACATTTCTCTGATTTCTTTTGGAAGAACTATTTATGCAGGTTTTTATAAAAATTTTTATACATGTTTTACTTTAAATTTAATAACTGATATGTGCATGCAATGTATAATTTCTTGTATTATAAGAAATACAAAATTTAAGATGTCATATTAATTACAGAACCCATTTTCATGAAAATGCTTCAATGCTTTTGAGAGGCAGTATACTTAAAGGTTAAAAGCATGAAATCTAGAACTAGAATCCCAGGGCTGCAAATTCAGCTGTAGCAATTTTTGCTGTGTAAATGTCAGGTGAGTTACTTAACCTCTAAGTTTCCTCATCTTTAAAACAAGGTAATATCATTTACCTATTCTTGGAAATTTGTAGTGTGGAGTAAATGAGTTAACATACATAAAGTGCTTAAAATACTATCTACTGAACAGTAAACATTGTCTAATAGATGTGTTATCTAATATGATATTACAGATAATATAGATTAAAACTGATTAAATTGCTAATTGAGTTCATTGTTTTTATGACACTAAATAGAGAAATATTAGGATCTAATAAAAATACTCATTTATATACAAAGTCTATAATAGAGTCAGCAAACATTTTTTAATTCAAAAATGTTTTGTGGTTGAGATAGACACATTAAACAATGCTTGTTCAAAAATGTGCAATAATTGAATTTTAATGAGGTCAATTGTTTGTCACAGATTATTATCAGCTTTTTAAACATTACTGTTTCACAAAGTACTAATGTTAAAAGTCTTTCCCAAGACTTCTTAAAGGAAAAGAAGAAACGCCATATCCTGTTATGTATCTTGTCTCAGAAAGAGAACTTAGTGTCCCTCTTACACAAGTAAACATTCATTGCCAAAACAGTAGAATGTGATTAATTGCCTCTTGATTTAGTTTTCTTTTGATGTGGTCAAGACATATCTTTATACGTAGTGTTTTGATAAAGAAATTCAGTATCATACCCACCAAGTTGACACATGTTTTTCAGTATGCTGTGAAAGGAGCAATTGTGTTGTACCTTAAACAAAAAGAAAGAAAAGTCGATGAATAATTTTTTTTCAGGATATGATTTATGACAGAAGTCCTACAGGCTGTGTTTTTCTTTGCCAAATAATTCCTTTCAAGTGCTATTTTTTTAGAATTATGTAATGTCTCTTTTTTTATGCCAGAAGAATAGCCAGGATATGAATTTGACATCACATGCATGGTGAGAGCGTGGAAAAGATTCTAAGAATGCTATTTACTTCCAAACAAAAGGTCACAGAATTAATTTTGCAAGTCAGCGTTTGAAACTGTCTGTCTGAGAGCCTTGGATATATGGAAAATTGATGTGTGTACCTTCAAAATTTATGTGTGCATACACTTCTAATAAGCCCTTTCACAAGGCAAAGAACACTGTGTCTACCTAATTTTACAATTGCCTTTTTAAGAGAGAACTTTGTAAATTTACACAATCATACTTAACCTAGCTGAGCCAGGAGAAAAATCCCTTTTGAATATTGAACTCTATGAATTATTCTAGTGTATTATGGGCTCTGACTCAAATGAATTAGCAGATTATCCTCCTAAGACTCTTAAAAATTCAGCAGCTTCACTGTCTGTCCATTTATGTGTCCCAAATTACGTTAATTGGAACTAGCTCACCAAGCATACTCTCTGTAGAATATACATCATTCTAACTTTATGTCTATGGTCTACATAAAAGTGTCAGCTTGAAGAACGTGGTTGTATTTAGTAGAGCTGCAGGCTATTTTTTGTTAAAGCTTAAACAGTTCTTTTTTCTTCCTTTCTTCTTTCTTTTTCCTTCCTTCCTTCCTTCTTCTTTCTTTCCTCCCTTCTTCTTTCTTTCCTCCCTTCTTTCTTTGTTTGTTTCTTTCCTTCTTTTTTCTTCTTTCTTTCTTTTTCTTTCTTTCCCTCTCTGTCTTTCTCTCTCTCCCTCCCTCCTTCCTTCCCTCCCTTCCTTCCTTTTCCTTCCTCCCTTCCTTCTTGCCTGCCTTCCTTTCTTTTTTGTTTTCGTTAAGAGACAAAGTCTTGCTCTGTCACCCAGACTAGAGTTCAACAGTGTGATCCTAGCTCACTGCAGCCTCGACCTCCTGGGCTCAAGTCATACTCTTGCCTCAGCTTCCTGAGTAGCCAGGATTACAGGTGCACATGCCACACCTGGCTAATTTAAAAACTATATATTTTTTTGTAGAGGTGGAGTATTTTTATGTTGCCCAGGATGATCTCAAACTACTGGGCTCAAGCGAACCTCCTGTCTTAGCCTCCCAAAGCTCTGGAATTACAGGCGTAAGACACCACACCTGGCTAAATAGTTCTTAATATGTAATTTAATTTAGTCATCTTTGTGCCCACACTATAGAATTTGGGGGATGAGTAAATGAAGGGATCTAGGAGTGGTTGAATATACTAATAATCGCTAATAACCACTGTTTGTTGAGTGTTTGCTATGACTTAAGCACTTGTCTAAGCACTTATGTGTGTTAACTCATGTACTGCTCATAGCAACTCTCTGGAGTACATACTATTGTTATCTTCATTTTAAAGATGAGAAAACTGCAAAATAGGGGATTTGAAGTAATCCGCCTGGGGTCAGGAAGTTTACGTAAGCTAATCCACCTAGGGTGCTCATGAATACAGTGAATTTCAATGGGAATATTCTCAATACAAGAGGCTTGCTGAAGAGTTCTCAGAAAAGAACTTCATTTGAATAAACTTGAGTGGATCCCACCATCTCTTTCTCAGGTCTAGGAACTACGAAAACTACCCTGAAGAGATCTGGGTAGAATGCTTTTCCAGCAAAAAGTATTCAAAGGTGATGAATTTTCTGGACTATCAACATACTAATTCTCTCCGGAAGTTGGAGGAGAGCCTTTCCAATGAGCAGAATACTGGTATACAACATCTAGGTTATCCTTTGTGTGAAGCCAAATCAGAAGTTTGTTTGATGAGCATAGAATCAGATCATGAATATTCTAAAGGGCTATTTCCTGAACCTAATGATTCCCTTATCCCACACTAGGGAACGTGAGGCTGAACTTTTCAAGTCCTCCAGATTCACTTTACTAAATACACTGCTGGATGTTCACTGACAACGTCAGGGTCGTTAGAATGATAACTGAAAGTTACATATGATTGCTCCTATCCACGCTGCTTTTCCACGTTTAGAACTCCAATGCCTCTCGAATATTGCATGTGATTTGCAAGAAAAGATACCTTTTGACATTTGGCATTAATTTTATAGGAGCCACTCCCAAATTTCTCTTTTGAGGGTGTTGTCTTGGAATACAGACATTTTCTAGACATCCACAGCCCTTCTACCTGAACAAATAAACACATAGATATATAAATATGACAGAATGTTTATATTTAGGTTGGTGCAAAAGTAATTGCTGTATTGCCAGCACCTTTCATGGCAAAACCCATGATTACTTTTGCACCAACCTAAGATATGCAGCTATCCAACCCCCAGTCCACCAAAGCCAGATTTGTGTATAAGGGCATAGCTATTTTATAGTAAGTAAGATACACAAGTTGGAGAAATTTTTACTTAAATCTGAGTTAGTCATTACCAAAGCAACACTGCTTCTCCTGTACAATAGAATATTAATGTAATGTCATAAATTTCCTTTAAAAATAATTACTTTCACTTTCAGATTAACATTAACACTTTCCTGTCCAATGGATCTCAAGAATTTTCCCATGGATGTACAAACATGTATAATGCAACTGGAAAGCTGTGAGTATGAACCACTTACTTTTTAAAATACTTTTACAGTATAGTAGATACAAACTTTGAATGCCTAAGATGGCTAATTTATTTTGTAATCATTTTGGTCACGTATTTACTGAATAGGCATGTAACCTTTCACCAGGTGCTGAAAATAATACCTACCAATACATGCACTCTACACTATGAGAAAGAAACAAATTGAGGATCTAGAAATAACGGATTTTTAAAGCTTAAAGTTTAGATACATGTTTCCATACACATCATCAGAAGTGAAAAGGATGGCAATCATTAAAAACAAACTATCATTTATTGGGAGCCTCTTATCAACCAAGTGTCTATATATATTTTTCTTATACTGACAACAAAGTTATTGTTATCCCTATGTTTTCAAATGTGAAAATGGTCATGTTGAATGATTGAATATTTGGCTCCAATTCACAAAGGTGACAATGACAAACTGCCTCCAAACTTATGCTGCTTCCGATAACCAATGTTTTTTATTTTAATGTCACTCTGCTGGGTATGTTATGTATGTAATCTCAGAAGACAAAATTTCTCACACTTTCTCACAGATTTATTTAAACTTTCAGGTATTCCTCTAAATTTCTTCTTTCAAAGTAGACCCATATGCCTCACTGATTAATGTTAATACAGGTGAACATTTCACATCCTACCCTTTCTCTGATCTATGTAATCAGACCTAAATTAATTGTTTACAGTGTTTAATCTCATATAAAAATTAAGCAATATGCAATATTTTCTCTTATGACAGTATGTTATACGAGGGGGAAGAAAAGGACTGTTTGACACATTCCTTGAGGAAAATTTGAAGGCCGATCCTCAGACTCCAGGTGTCAAAGACAAGGCTTGTAGTGTGATGGAGTTGTCACTAGATGGCGGACCAACTTTGTGGGGCAACGTGACTATCGCCCTCCCTCTCCCACTTGGTTTTACTTAAGAAGTGGAAATATGAATTTCTCTTATAATTCCTCCTCAGAAAATTTAAATTGATTATTTTTATAAATAGTTCTTAAATAATTAGCACACATATGGGTAAAGTATTCACGTAAATGAGAGGAAATAAAATAAATTAAAATTGGGGGAGCTACTTAGCAATCAATCTATGTGGGGAGAAGCGGCAGAGCTGATTTTGAAATTGAAGAAGGGCAATTTGAGGACAGGCTGATTGTATATCTTGGTTGAAAAATTAAGTATATTTAGCGCACAGAGTTTAAAAATGTGCACGACCCTCTAAGTGGCACCCAAAGTACTAAGTCCAGGGGCGGGGCGTGGATATTAATCAATAGGTCTGAGAAATGGTTCAACATATAAGGGGCAAGAAAATTGTTTGGTCCTTGCTGTACCTCTTAAAGATTATTTTAGTTAAATGAACCAAGATTATTTAAGAAGTTTTCATAATTTTCCAGCAAAAAGAACAGAAAGTAGAATAAAGCACACTTATGTGGAAGGTAGAAACAGGAGAGGTTGATTCACAGTGGACGTGAAGTCAGAGACTTCCCGTGTGTCCGAGCGAAAAAGCTTAGATAAATGGGATCAGTTTAGAAGCACTGACGAAGAAAGGGAACAGGGGATGAGAAACAAATGTTGATGGGACAATTGATAAAATCCATCTTAATATGTTTGAGATCTGGGAGACTTAGGTCTAAAGCCAAAGAGGGAGCGAAAAGTGAAGATCAACTATTAAAAGCCATATACAGAGTGGTTCAAGGAATCAGATGAAATAGCTGAAGAGGAGAATGTAGAGAGGAAAACAAAACACAGACAAGAGCAGGCCCTTAAGAAATGCCTACATTTAGAAGTTGTTGGAAAAAATTCCAGACAAAGGTAAGGATGGCAGATTAAAATCAACACTGTTCAACCTCAAAAGAGAAAGGACTGTGAAGGAGTTCTGTGTAACAAAATCAAATGCTGCAAAGAAAGTTTTGTAAGGTGCTTGAAAAAAGCAATTGCTACTGTTAACAAAGACAAATGTGATTAGAATAACGATGGTCAAAGCTGGAATCTAAAAAGGTTTTTTTTATTTTTTAGGTGAGTGATGAGGAAGTGGGAGCAGTGAGTGAAATCTTTTATTCCATGAATGTTACTTATTAAAGAAAGATGAGAAAAAGGACAGTGCCTGAGGGTTGGTTAGATCACTGGGCTTCTGTTTTGAGTAAGGAAAGCTTACTGGTGCTATTTTGCAGGGCACAAAAACTGACATAGTAAAACCTCTCGTGTGTCTGCCTTTCTCAGAACATTTCTCAACATAAGAAAAGAGAGTCTCTTTTCTTTTCCCCTTTATTTCTTAATTCCTCTATAAGAAATACGAGTGGGTTGTTCAAGGGGTTGTTTAATATTTCAGTCATTAAGCACTTCCTGCTCTTATTAGGAATTAATTTTAATTTAGCTCACCATAGAGACTTTGTTTATTAAAATCCTGCAGCAGATGCTAATGCCACTCAAATTTTTTTCTTAAAACATTTTTAGGACAATTACATACATATATATACACACACATATAATATATAATACATACATATATATGTTAAGAAATGCCTACATTTCTGTGTACATATGCATACACATGTGTATATATATATATTCATACATACGAATCTACATATATGTGTGTATATATATGTTTTAAGAAAAATTTATATCTATTTTTTTCTTTCTCTTTAAATAGTGGCTAAAATGTCAAGATAAAAGATTGTAAATCAGTGGAACCCACTGGAAAGTAGGCAAAAAATGTTTAAGCTACTGGAAAGCAAGAGCTGTAAGAATCCCAGGGTCCACCTTTGAATGAAATCTGACTGCAAAAAGGAAGAAAAGAAAATGTTCAATAATATTAAGACATGGGAAGCAGGCAAAAAGGAAACACAATTTAAAAGCAAACACTTTAATGGCTTGTCATGGTACAACTTCCTTAAATTCAGTAAAAGTTCAATAAGTATATGTCAATGGTCAAGACAGTTCCAAGTGGCCTGGAAAATATTCTTTCATTTAGGCATCAATTGAAAAATATTTATCAAATACCTAATATATTCCGCATATTATGTTGGGTGGTATAACAACAAATGAAGCAAAAATGTCTCTGCTTTCAAGAATTTCAGAGCCTACCTGAAATATAATGATATAAATATTTATGCCAATATAATAATTCAATTAAAGATAATAAGCAAATGTTAATGGGATACTGTTAAAACAAAGGAGAAAGTGAATAAGAGAAGAACAAAATTAGCAATGAATAACTAACTTAGAAAAGACTATCTTGTCTAAACTATCAGTGATCCCATGCCCTCAAAGTACACATTTACGACTTATAATTGAAACCATAGATGACATAAAATTCCTAGTTAGAGGAAAAGAAATTACTGGGGAAGAGGCTTATGCAAGGAAAATCCAGGGTAAGAGAAGACTTGCATTAGAAATTGATGAGAAAAAACATGTATGAGTTAAGAATAATATCAAAGAATAAAAATAGAATAAAAGGGTTAAATTCACTTAGGAAAAAAAGATTCTCAAACTAGATGTTAACCAATATCAAGACCCAACACTATGTCGACAACTAGACACTTTCTAAGAAATCCACGCAAAAAATAACAATAATTTGGTAAAGAAAAATTTTAAAAATGTATATGTGAGAAATGTACCTTGAAAAAGTCCAGAATAATTTTGATCAGAAAAAAATTAATGGCAGAAAAAAATTGTGAGGCACAAATACTTGAGTAGCATGCTGGTAAAAAATCAATATACAGTGGCTCACGCCTTTAATCCCAGCATTTTGGGAGGCCAAGGCAGGTGGATCACTTGAGGTCAGGTATTTGAGACCAGCCTAGCCAATATGGTGAAACCCCATCTCTACTAAAAATACAAAACTTAGCCAGGCATGGTGGCCCTTGCCTGTAGTCCCAGCTACTCGGGTGGCTGAGGCTGGAGAATCGCTTGAACCCAGGAGGCAGAGGTTGCAGTGAGCCAAGATGGCACCACTGCATTCAGCCTGGGTGACAGAGACTAACTCTTTATTAGAAAATAAAAAAAATAAAAAAAAAAAAAAAAAAAAAAAAAAAAAAAAAAAAAAAAAAAAAAAAATTCCACATATAATTAGGAAAATGTAAGTATTTAACCATATAACTTCTAAATATATTAAGCAAAAGCAGGATGAACTGCATAAGAAACAGATAAATCAACAATTTACTGGATTATACAAGCACAGTATATTTGAACAAAACAAATCATAGAGATAATTCTTACTGTTTCTTTGTTTAATTTTGTTTTTAGCATATGGAAACATTTACAAAAATTGATTAAGTTATACACCACCAAGGAAGTTTCAGTAACCTCCTATGAATCAACATGTTATAAAATTAGAAACCAATAACAATATAGAATTACTGTAAGTTACTACAAGTTCCCATACATTATTATATATTAATATACACTTGCATAACTGGAATGAAAAACATGCACTAAATGACTGTTTGTTTAAAGGTGAAAATTAAGAAAAATGTGATGTTGTTACAATGAAAGCACAATATATCAAGATTTCTAGATACAACTAAGCCAGATTTTTTTTAGTAAAAACAATTTCACTAAGCATTCTATTCAAAAAGAACAAAACGACACAACAGAGTATCCAAAGAATCACAAAAACCCCTAAAACTGGTGCTTTGAAAAATCTCAGAATCTAGACACGTCCCTGGAGAAATAATTTAAATTAAAAAATTAGGTTGATTGAATATAAAACATACAGAATGAAGAAATAGAAACAATCATAGTATGCCAGGTTAAAAGCAATGAAAGAAAATCCTGATCTATTCTATCTTTTTCAGTCATAGTTATGGAAAGGAAATTCAGCCAAAACCTTTATTTGAAAACAAGAAGGAAGCCTGGGGGAAAAACATCCACATAAATAGCTAACTTTGTTATAAATTAATGAGAATTTCCAAGAGCAGAGATAATAATGATGGGAACAACAGAAAACATTTTGAAAACCTGTTCAAATA